AGCCGGAGCAGACGTTGGTCTAGTTTCGCCTATCAGTTTTGAGTGCTCCTAGCGGCGCTGCTGGCTTAGAACTGTTGTTCCTGTGGGAGTGTAGCTTGACCCCGTTCAGGGCTTATCTTCACTGCGCTCACGGCGGGATTCTATACAGTTCCCATATACGTCAGTATGACGTAATGTCGAAGTGACCGCCTTGAAAGGGAACGTCTCCGGTTACTATCGTAACCTCGGTTCCCTGAGAGGCGGGAACGAGACATTACGTCAACCGCCGTGCTCGCCGTTTGATCAGCTGTGCTAGCGTTCAGTCTTGATTCTGACGTAATTGTCGCGCCCATGCTATTTATACTGCCCGCGGACCGGTCAGCATTTGCATGTTTTGCGTCAATTGGCCAGCTGTCTCCAGCTGGCGTTAACCTATAAGATTTCAGTGAAAATGGAGAAGGGAGGAGTTCCCATATACGTCAGTATGGCGTAATGTCTCGTTCCCGCCTCTCAGGGAACCGAGGTTATGATAGTAACCGGAGACGTTTTCCATGCCACTGTGTGATGACAACATTTTCAGGTTTGGGTGAATTTTTATGATTTTTTTATTTTATTTTTTTTGTGGACATTTTATGACTGCTAGGTATCTAAAATAATGTTTTGTCTTGCTCACAAGAGAAAAAAACCCCGACTATTTATTTAATTTTGGACAATGTGGGGCGTTCCTGTTGTGTATTCACCTGTATTAAAGGGATACTCCACCCAAAAATGAAAATTCTGTCATCATTTACTCACCCTTTGTTGCAAACCTGTATGAGTTTCTTTCTTCTGCTGAACACAAAATAAGATATTTTGAAGAACGATTTGGCACCATTGACTATTTTGTTTTTTCTACTATGGAAGTCAATGGTGCCAAACAACTGTTTGGTTCCAATCGTTCTTCAAAATATCTTCCTTTGTGTTCAGCAGAAGACAGAAACTCATACAGGTTTGCAACAACTTGAGGGTGAGTAAATGATGACAGAATTTTCTTTTTTGGGTGGAGTATCCCTTTAACAGCTCTGGAACTTTTGAATATTAATGTAGACTTTCATAACTATGCTCTGGTCAATGCAATTCACCTTTAATAAGTAGGCTACATTTTATTTATACAATTTAGAAGAAAAATAACAGGATATAAATAAGTAGCTAGAGAGATATTGAGAAAGAAAAACATGAAAAAAAAGATAAATATCTATATTAATAAATTGGCGATCTCAGACAATATATTAATTAAATACACCTGACTTGATTTCCATATTTCATAATTGTGAGTTTGAAACATATGATTGGGACATGAAAATATGCATAACAGGAATGATCCATATGGCCTCACGTCATATGTATCATGTCTCGATTTAAAGGAGCATCGACAAGGACACATTGCTTAGGCAACACAGTCCAGATGTTCGGACAGGTTTTATTTATTTTCCACATTCCACATCTCTTAGTTAAAAGCTCTGATCCCGAGACTAAATCTGAGCAAAGTCCCAGAGTGAAACACCTGGCACAACTCATATGTTTGACATAGACAGAACCCTATATCTTCTTCTATGAAAACCTGAGGGCCAGTTGCATAAACTTATAAGCCATGCCTGAAGAACTAGTTTGAACAACTAGCGGTTAACCAAGGGGTAATCCGTCCTACTTTTCCAGTTCAAATTGCACAATCTACCTGTCACGTGGGTTTTGATTCAAGTTTGTTTTCATGTCTTTGATTTAATAGTTTGCCTTGGCCATGTTTCATGTTCCTGCCATGTGCTTCCCCTGTTCATGTGTCTTGTTCTCACTGGTTCATTGTTTGATTATGCACAGGTGTTCCTTGTTAGTCATTAGTCAAGCCAAGTCATTGTTTTTGTACACATTTATGTTCAATAAAAAGCATGAAACTTAAACAAAACCCAAGACCATATTACACATCCTTTTTATGTAACTTGTGACTTTAAAATAAATTATGTCTTGAAGAAAAAAACTAGTCTAGACTAGTCTAAGCAGTTTATGCAACTGCACACTGATTTAAAGGCAATAAATATCATGTTTTTTTTTTTAGTTAATGTACAGTGAAGTGAATTGATTGATGCATTTGTAAAGTGGGGAATAATGGGTCATGCATGATTAGCCTAAAAAAATACAAAAATACTGAACAGCTCCTTAATGTCTAAACAGTTTAAAACCTATTTCAGAGTACTCACAACACACAGAAATAATCTCATTCACAATATAGTTAATTCATCACATTATGCACTCTTTTATCTGTAAATCAAATGAGAATGACATGCTGAATGTGTTCTTTAAATAGACTTCATATGTGCTGAGAAAATCCATTATTTCAGAAGAATGAAGAGTTGGTGAAGAGTGAAGAGAATACAAGAACAAAAGTGCTGGTGTCTAATAAGTGAGACCAAAAATAATTTACTGCGGCATAGCAACCGGAGCAACAGGAACATCTGCATTTTTTCCTCATTTTGAAAATAATGCTAATAGAGTTTTGTTTCTTTTTTTATTATGAAACACTGCTGTTCTTCAGCATTTGTGATGAGCATTTTTTCAATTTATTAATTGAAAATCAATATAACTGACTGGGTGCATACTTATTGTCCAAGTTGTGTACCACAAATGCTCTTTTTAATGTGTAGCAGGAAACCTTTTTTGAAGGGAAGAGAGTTTCATGTGGGAAGCAGATTGGCATCATTACCAAACAGCCATGAGTGAGCCTGCTGGATCTGAGTCACCATTGGCAATGTGTTCAGTTTACTTTTTGAAAATCAGTTAGTGCCATTAGTACCATTGGGGGTTCATTTAATAATACTTTGCCAGTTACACTTCAAACCATGGCATGAATTGATATAAACAGATCTGTGCAGAAATGGTTGGATACACTTTTGACCCAATGCTAAAACCACATATTTCTAACAATCATTGATGATGTCTTGGAAATTATCAATGTGTGAGAAACTCTGTATTATTCAGGGTCTTTGGGAGCCCATAACAATAGGATGTGGGGTCAGAGAATGACTGAAAAGCAAAGTTTTTTTTTGTTGTTTTTTTTAATGGGAAGGTCACAGATAAAGTTTATGTTGTTCACCTCAGTAACATTGAATAGTCTTTGTTCTGATGATGCAAGGTGATAGGCGCTCCCTTTCAAATGTTTCCTATGAACATCTGATATTTTTTCTCTAATCAGATGTTTCGGTCCAATTACATTGTTACAAAAAAATCACATGGAAACAAGATGAGGCACTTGATTATGTTGTTACCATCCAAATACAGGGGATATAAACACACACCAGGAAACAGCTTTCTGAAAGTTTAATTGAAAGAATATGCTGTTTAAGTCTGTTTCGGGGCACCAGGAAGTCATTCAGACGATGCATTTTCTTTCGAGGAAAGTCGTATAGAGACTGAACTTCCAAAAGTAATGTTTTATGCATTTGGTATGACAGAGGTCCTTTCTGTGTTCTAAATTTAAAAAGGCAACTGGTTTCCACTTAGAGTGACCACGTTCCAATGCATTTCCACTGTTGTGGAATTGCCTCAAAGACTTTTATTGTTCTAAACATATTCTAAATATTTCATGCTAACTTTTAACAAAAACCTAAAACCGCATATTGTGACTTTGATCTTGTGTTTAATCTCTTTACTCATCTGGCATAGATCAACTGAATATCTGCCCATTTAAAGGAACAGTTTACCAAAAATGAACATTCTGTCATCATTTACTCATAACCCATATGACTTTCTTTATTCCCAAAAGAAGATGTAAGAAAGCAGAAGGACAACGATAGTCACAATTTGCTTACATTGTATGGAAAAAAGCAGTGAAAGTGAATGGGGAATAAGACAAAACAACACGGAAATGAAGAAATGCTCATTTTGGGTGAACCATCGCTTTAATTAGCAGCAGCAGATCTCAGGGAAGCTCATGTTCTTTCGAGATTTTAGATTTTACACACTTTACACACGGACTAGCGTCTGTGTTTCTGAGCATTCCAAACAAAAACAATTTTCTCTTTGCAGTGAATTGCAACATAATTGTTCTCTTGCATACCTTCTAAGAATTCATGTCAATCAGTTCCACTGGTAGAGGAAGTGAAAATGCTGTACAAATGTCTCTCTTGTATATATTTTTTTCCAACATCCCTTTTTCTTCCAAAACTGCAGGCTCAAATGTTAAAGACAGTCTGAACAGTAATACACATAATGTTATCATTTATATTATTATCATTTTAATATTTATATTTATTTTATGTGATCTTATTTGTTAAATGTATACTATTATTTTATTATTATACATACAATCAATAAAAAAAATACTTTGCAAAAATACATAATGTTCCCTATTGTTTTCAGATGCAGATGTAAAATAAAAACAATTTCAAATCCACATGACTTTCTTTCTTCTGCAGAATACAAAAGGATATATTTAGCAGAATGTCAGCAGCTATTTTTCATACAATGAAAATTGCATTTAAGTGAACTATCCCTTATATACTGTAATACACAAGATAAGCCCTCATATTTCTCACATCCTAAAAGATATCATTATTAATATCCACCAACACTTCTTTCTGTCCCCAGGGCATCACCTGTGTGAAAGACCCAGACACAAACAGAGACAACACAAAAGAAGAGAAAACATGACTTTTGTTGTGTGTTGATGTTTATTTTTATGACCAAGGGCTGTGAAAGAGCTAGTTGTAACCCAGAGAGAAACAAAAATGTCTTTGTTTCTGGTCAGAGCTCTGGCAAAAGTGGTACGAACACGGTTAGTGAGGGAAGAGTGTGAATAATGATACTGTAAGGTAAGCTCTCTCTGTCTCATGTACACACACACACACACACACACACACACACACACAGACACACTCTTTGTCAGCGTCTTTGTTTCTCTCTCTCTCTCTCTCTCTCTCTCTCTCTCTCTCTCTCTCTCTCTCTCTCTCTCTCTCACACACACACAGTTGAGAAGAGAGAGGTAACAGGCAGATCGTTAACATGGTTGGTGGCGGAGGGAGGGAGAAAGCTTGGCGACTGGCCCGCCCACTCATGCCCCCTAGCCTTATAAAGAACCTGAGGAATGGGAAAGACCCTCTAAGAGTGCCAAACACCCGAAACAGCACTCTGAGAGCTGGGGCGAGAGAGAAAGAGAGAGAGGGGATTATAGGTCGCTGCATTCATGGATGAACAAGGAGGTGAGTCCATGACAACCACTCATATGAACGCACACTTCACCATATTGGGTTCATGCAGGGCAGGATGTAATTTGGTGGACAAAGGAAGGAAGGAGCAAGAAAAAGAAGTACAGAACTTCAGGACAATGTTTGGATCACATTATTTGGAGCCGGATAACTGGAAATATACTCAAAATGATCTGATTTTGTATTTTTTTGCTTTAAATCAAGCTTTCTAAAAAAAGATAGTAGTTATCACAAGTACTTAGTAATGAATGAGTGGTCATTTATTCATCTTTGTGTGTTACTTTGGGCAGATAGTTCAGGAGTTAAATGTTTTTTAGTCTCCCACATGTTTTTTTTTATTGGTTTTCTAATTAAAGATCTGTTGTTCGCTGAACTTATTAACTGATTCAAATGGCATAATTAGCATTTTGCAGCATAAATCAGTAACATGATGTCAATGGAAATTCCAGAAAGGCATCATACACCCCAAAACGTTCTCCTAAAAGGCTTTAAAATGTTCTTTGAAGCATGCTGTTTTTTATTAACTGTTTGACTGCAAGTTCATGCATCGGATATATTTACTTAGAAGCACTATTGTAGATCAGGAACTGAAAAGTGCCTGGATAATCGACCATTGTTCTGAGGTCTTGCACTACATTTGACTTAGGCATGCAAACAAATAAGCAATGTAAATAAAGGAAGATAAAAAAATGCAGCAATCCTCTGCAGGCTGCTTGGTCGTCTGAAGCATCAGGTTTCAGCATCTGGTGTCCATCTAAGAGCTTTAGCAGAGAGTTAGTACAGGACTGAGGCAGCATCAGGAAGAGAGAGAGAAAGATTGCATAACACCGGAGGATTTCTTCCTGAGAGTGGACAGGCCATCTGGTAACTGACAAAACATCCCACGTGTTACCATGACAAAAGAAGAATTTAGTAAGTTAGTCGGAGCTGCAATACAGTAGGTCTCATGGAGTTTTGCATTCTTGCACGAGGCAAGGAATTACAGGAATGCTTTCGATAGAAGTTCTGTTTCTTTCTCATGCTAAAATGAGAAAACATGTACTCACCGTGTGTAAAACATGTACTTCCACTAAGTGCCTTGAGCAAACTAAACTTCCTGTAGCTGACACAACAAGGCCAGTGTAGATGTTTCTCATTATTCCAGTCATGTGCAATTGAGGAAGTCCCACCCCTCCCACACACGGGGCCTCTTTTGGAAGCAACTGAAGTAATTCCCTTTTATTTAAAGGGCTATACTTCAAAAATCCAAAGCATCTTTGGACAAGACAGGCTTTTCAAAAGTGGAATTTGTTTTATAAAGAGTAGAAATAACAAATAAAGGGACACTTATTGTATTCTTATTTAAAGGTGCAAAACGCAAGTCTCTGAGTTTTTGCAGAACTACGCCCCCTCTGGCGACAAGCGAAACTGCAACCAGAGTTGTGCACGCTAATGGACCACACGCATCTTTTATTGGATATGTTTTATGTTTCATGTTGTACTATTCTTCCGAACACAATTCCTAGTTTATGAAACTGTTCACTAACAATGGTAGTAAAACCAATTCTGATTGTACATGTATCTAGCTTACGCTAAAGCATTACACATTTTACGCATCGTCATTTGTTGTCATACATAGATTGGCCGTATCAAACATTAGAGACTGGGCTATATCTTACCGTTTTATCAAGAAAAAAGCCAACTGAGGATCCCGTTTGAGACCAAGAGCAGACCGGAGATCTCTCCATTTGTTGAATGCCTTCCCGAGGTTGACTCTCGTCTTACTCGGACGCCTGTCTGTCTCCAATTTGGACCTTTTGGTGGCACTAGACAAAATTTTTCTTTTCTTTACTTTACGTGGAGTTTGCGTTGGGGTTTGGAATGGACTACACGCCGGTCTCTTTATCTTCTACCTTTGACGCACGAGTTGTCTTCGCTGATGCTAAGAATGGCGGCGCTGGCGAATACACAAACCTGCGAGACACAGCCTGGTGAGCGTGAACGTGCATGACGTCACACCCAGTCTCAAATTCGAGCCCGAATCCCTCTTATATATTTTACTGTACAGGATTATAGAGGCAATCTCAGTGCGCAGAGAAGGGCTCATTCAGCCCATCAGGCAGTTCTTTAAGCATGTATAGGATAGAAAAACAGGTATTTTTAACATGAAAAGTTGCGCAATGCACCTTTAAATTTGAGGTGAAATATAAGGCATATAGGAAAATGTTGCATGCAAAATGGATTCTTCTTGACCTCAGAGTGTGGTATATTGCGTGTCATTGTAAATGGCATGTACAGGTACAGGGCTCTATAGTCACACGTTATTGAGATCCCTCATGACTTATTTCAGATGTATGAGTAATGCGTGGGTTGAGTGTGACATTAATCTTTACCACTGTCCTGCAGATGCGGTCTTCTCATGACACTAACCGTGAGAACATTTGTCATAGACAAACTGTGCTAGATTTAAAATCTATGAAGAGAAACATTAAGAAACGTTTAAATAAATGAATTAAAACTATCAAATGCACAGTAATGAATAAAAGCTCCATCTTTGCCGTTAAGAAGTTGTTCTGAGATGTTGCAGCTGAAATGTTGTGTACTGTCCATCTGACTATTGTACCTTTTCAAACATGAAAGTAGAAGATGTGAATTATTGAGAAAATGTAAGCTTACTAATCAGTAATATGTCATCTTTACTGAAAATTGCTCACCAACCACAAACCACTCACTAAAAGCTGATTAACATCAATTAGGTTTCCGTTTAAATTTACAAGTTAAGGCACATAATACAACTTGTGCTTGTATTTTAGTTGGCTGCAAAATAAAACAAAAAGTTTAATTTTTGAAATAAGTCTGATAATTCAATCTGATGTCTATTTTTAAAATGATAATGTAAATCAATTAATAGATAAAGTAAATGTGGAATTACAATACATCTAGCAATCGCAACTGACTTTCCTTAATTAAACATTTTGCTCATGGCCAATTTGTCTGCCGGGAAAAGCACATTTCATGTGTCCTCCAGCGTCTCTCTAGAATGCAGCGCTTATTTTACTTTTAATGAATCAATCAAAATCACTGGTGGGGTTAACATGCTCAAACAGATTGCAAGTGTTACTTTACAATACAACTGCATTGAAGACAGGCATGGTGAAGAAATGGAAATGACTGAGCAATGAAAACTATGATTAAAAAAAGTACCTTGGACTACATTCTAACACAGGAAAATTACGTACAATATATCTCTGCTCGGGCTTGACTGGTCAGGTTTGAATGGAGAAAGATGCCACAGTGAATGAAATATGTTTCTTGTTTTCAGAGATTAATGATAATTGTGAGGACATATTATTCTCTTTCACAATCAGGCTTCCTTTGGTTTGTTGGCTGAGGTGTCTTCCCCTTCCTCTTGCAACATCTCTTCTCGGTTTGACTTTATTTTGATGGTCCCTTTAACACATTCTGTTGACTATAACGTTGCACCTACATGTCTACTAACTCTTATTAGAGTGTTAGAAGAGTATTAGTAGACTCGTAGGGTTAGGGTTAGAGTAAGTTGACATGTAGTTGCAAAGTTACTTATAGTTAGTAGAATGTCTGTTGGAGGACCATCAATAAAGAGTTAGCAGATATTAAGCAGACAGTCTACTAATACTCTAATGAGACTTAGTTGCATGTAGTAGTAAAGTTACTTATAGTCAACAGAATGTTCAAAAGGGACCATCAAAATAAAGTGTTACCCTCTGATGATGCGTTCACTGGTGTGTGTGCGGGACAACCTGTCAATCACATAAGATAACAGCAATAGCAAACTATAAGAATTCAATTATCCAATCCATTCCCGATGGACACAATCAAGTCCCGCCCTACATTCTTTCTTGTTCGAAAAGCCGCTTCACTCGGGTATACGTCACAATAGGGAAGAAAAGACTATCGTGACTTCGGTTTCATGCTGACTTTAAGGATTTTTTTTATTTAAAATATATTTAATTTAAACCTTCAAATTAAATAAAGTACATATTACACAATGTATTCAAAGGTTAACAAAAAACGATTTCCAATCTTAAAATACATGTGTTAATGCATATAAATATATAAATAAATGTATTATTTAAAAAACAATAATATTTATATAAAGATATTTATGTCACGTTGTGGGTTTTGTGTCCTGTTCCTTGTTCTTGTCTGCCATGTGATTCCCTGATTGTCATGTGATCCTGCCATGTGTCTTGCCATTTGTTTCCGTAATGAATGAGGTCCACTCGAGGCAAGCTGGGGCCTATACCATGTTTAGGTGGCTAGGTGGTTTAGGTGGATAGGCTGATATGTTTCAGTTTAATTTGCGCCAACCCTGGGTTTTAGGCACCATGAAAGTGGTTTGGCTTTCAGTGTTTATCACCATAGTAACTTACGCTCCATGGCTAACCTGGTCCCGGGCGCGATATTTTTTTTCACAGGATGGTAGGGGAAGACTCATGAATATTCATTAGGGAATACCTGATTGGTCTGATGACCTACCCCCTAACCCCGCCCCTAAACCTACCCGTCACTGGGGGTCTGATGACCTACCCCTAACCCCGCCCCTAAACCTACCAGTCACTGGGGTTAAGACCAATCAGGGATGAGTTCCCTAATGAATATTCATGAGTCTTCCCCTACCATCCTGTGAAAAAAAATATTGCGTCCCGGGCAGGTTATGGGTGTTTCTCAAAACCAAGAATGCAAAGAACGGACTTGTGTTCTTCGGGAGGAAGCTCTTGCTAGTTGTTCTTGGAAGAATTAACTCACAAGGTGACGAGCACACAGAACGCTGCTGACAGTTTGAGACGATGTGTTCTTGCTGGTATTGCGCAATAATACCCCCGCACAGACGCCATCTGCAGTACCCAAACATAACGAGAATTATTGACGATAACAGCCAGGCTGCAATGGTCTCTTGACTGTGGGGTAAAACGAGTCTGTGAGCAGACTGGCCGGTTGGCTCGCTAGCTCACTTAACACCCGCAGGCGCTTAT